CCCCAACGTGCCCGACGTGATTGCGTCACTTGACGTGCTGATGCTGGGCATGTCACGTGCTTTGGGGGTGGGGTTCCCCCCGGGGCCCGATCCGCCGCCGGCGGGTAACAGGCCTCTCAGGCGGGGGTTTCCCCACCCCCCGGGGGGACTTGGCAAGCCTAGGAAGGATGGCTCCGAGCCCAGACCAAACTAATTCATGCAGTAGCCAGATCGCTCGCTCACAACTTTAATGCCAGCAGTTCACAAAGCGGAATTTTTGCTCACAAGACTCCACAGCTTAGAGGGAGCATTGGTCACAAGGTGTTCTCAAGGAATTATGAAGTTAACCTAGCCATAATAATGTCATGAAACAAATATACTCTTGTTATAAAATTGCCAAAGTTTGCTAATATTTTTTTTGCCAAAGGAGTTATGAATGACAGGTGTTCTGGCTGTCCAAATGTTCATCCATCCATCCGTCTTCCCCACCTGGCAGGAATCTCCTCTGTAATTGGCCGGGCACATGCAGAGCTCCACATTGCTGGCTTGGACGCCCCCGCCCGTCTCTGACACAGTCTCCAGTGTTGGCCGATGCAGGGACACTGAGGAGGAGATCTGGGAGAACAGCGCCCGGATCTGCAGCTGTTCCAGGTTCGCCAAAACCATCATCAGCTCTTCCCGGGAAACAGGGTTGTGTGTCTCGGTATGTCTGAAGTGACCCTACAGAAGGGAAGAGAGTTGGATTGTGGCATTAGTAGGATTTTGTGACTCCCTTATAACTCACAGTGTCACTGAGATGTTTCATTCAAATATCCATGCTACAGTGAACGTTCCAGATGGGCCTCAAACCATTAAGCAGCATTCTGCAGCTAGAATGAAAAGTGTTCCTTCTGCTGGAAAAATTGCATTCTGAATGGTTTTAAAATTACTCAGACAGGCTCAGTGTTTCTCGGAGAAGACCAGAAAGTTACCCAGGGAATCATTTCAATTGATGGCTCCGGAATATTTTAAATTAGTTCAAACACAGACGAGTACTATCTGGCCCACATGCAATTAGTGTGGTTGGTCTTGCTATAGGTAGGTCAGCCATACTCCTGATGCATTATTTCATTTGCCTTGTTTTTAAAATAATCTGCATCTCCCCAATGACAGTTTACTCACACAACATAACAGCATAAGAACATAAGAGATGCCATACTGGATCAGGCCAATGGATCCATGTCACACAGTGGCCAAAACCCAGATGCCATCAGAAAGTCCACCAGCATGGCCAGAACAAAGCAAGAACAAGGCAAGACTCTGACCAGTTTAATTTCCATAGCAGTCTTGCAAAGACTGCAGGTTTGGTAGTTGATGGTTGGAGAAAGGTCTTCCCACGGAAGGCCCTTCTTTGCTGTTACAGCATTGCCTGGGCACCAGTAATTGGGGGCTGTATCACATGCCATCAATGATGACCTTGGCAATAGCCAATAGGTGCTTGTGCCTCTTGCACAACTGCATTTGAGGCAGTAATAGCTGCACTAGCAGCAGAAAGATTAAAATGCCTTGAAGCAAGGCTACTGGACTGAGCACACGATCAGTGACTTCAGACTCACTCCGCTATAAAGTCATAGTTTGCAGAGGTCTAAAATGTCCCACAGCATGAGACAGGGGTCAAAATCCAGACTGCTAGGCATGTAATCAGTGCAAAATCCATGTTGCTTAAGCATTTGTCAACCAGAATTTTTGGCTACACTAATGACAAGCTCTATTTGTTCAACACATCACAGGCGGACTGGCAATTTAGAGTGGTAGGCTTAGCACTCAAATGAAACACCTTTGCTTAAAATCTGACACTCGTCTGACAACCCCCCTTGTTAGATGGTTGCCATAAACAACCCAGCTGGCTCTTGTGCCACGCATAGCCGAAATTTCAACCAATCCACAAAACTTTTTCCCCTAGCTCTCCTGCAGACCACTCCTGAAAGGAGCTCTTTAAAAAGCTTTTGCAAAAAGGATAACCCATTGCCAGGGCTGCAAGGCTCTTTCAGTTTATAAAGCAAGCAAGCATGTTTCAAGATTCTAGTGAGAGCACACTGTCAGCAACGTAACAGCCACTGTAGGTACACGTGGCAAGAGCATCAAAGCATCAGTCTGCAACAATAAGAATTTATTTTCAGGAGGATTCTCTGACCGGCAGGCCTAACCTCCTGCACAATTATGCATCTAAGAACATAAGAGAAGACATGTTGGATCAGGCCAATGGCCCATCGAGTCTGGCACTCTGTATCACACAGTGGCCAAAACCCAAGCGCCATCAGGTGATCCATCAGTGGGGCCAGAACTCCAGAAGCCCTCCCACTGTGGCCCCCCCAAGGACCAAGAATACAGAGCATCACTTGCCCCAGACATAGTGTTCCATCTATACCTTGTGGCTCATAGCCACTGATGAACCTCTGCTCCATATGTTCATCTCATCCCCTCTTGAAACTGTCTGTGCTTGCAGATGCTGCCACCACTTCCTGTGGCAGTGAGTTCCACATCTTAATTATTCTTTGGGTGAAGAATTAATTCCTTTTATCTGTTCTAAACCTACTGCTCATTAATTTCATTGCGTCCCCACGAGTTTTTGTATTGTGAGGAAGGGAGAAAAGTACTTTTTTCCTCTACCCCATGCATAATTTTGTAAACCTCTATCTGGACTGACCTCTACAAGCTGGAGTTTCCCTTCATAGACTTCTCCAGGGATGGGGTAGGTGCCTTCAAGAAACATAATGCTCATTTGGTTCCCCTAGTAAAGGAAAATAAACCAGCACAATTAATTTGACAGAAGCATTGCTCGGTGGAATGATACATAGAGCAAGAGAGGAGGGCAGCTTGTCCTGTGTACCTTGAGGATAACATCAGGCCGGAATTCCATTGGTATGAACACGTCACCCCTCCGAGTGTCTGAATGCAGCTCATAGCGCAAGTATCCACCATAGGAGGAAACCTAAAAGGGGAAGAAAGCCACAAAGGGGTATGCTGCATTCAGGGTCGTTTATGACCTCTTCCCCCTCCCCAAATTAAGACTCCACACCAAAATTAAATACATCTTTAAAGTATCTATGGAAATCACTGTTCTTTACACATGCCCTTTTTTAGCATTTTGTGTGCTGTGAACTGAAATTTGTGAAATTTTACAGATCTGGGAGCGTCTTTTTTTAGCAATATACATTGATTAAATACTTGCAGTATACACAGTAAAGCAACCAAGCTGTTAAAATGAACCAACTCGTGGCAAACCCTCGTGGCAACATTTTACAGATCTGGGAGGGTCTTTTTTTAGCAATATACATTGATTAAATACTTGCGGTATACACAGTAAAGCAAGCAAGCTGTTAAGATGAACCAACTCGTGGCAAACCCTCGTGGCAAAATTTTACAGATCTGGGAGGGTCTTTTTTTAGCAATATACGGCTGGGGTCACACACACTAAATAATCCACTTTTAATCCACTTTCAGTGAACTTTCCAACTGGATTTTTTTGTGTGAACTGGCAAAATCCAGTTGGAAAGTGCACTGAAAGTGGATTTTTAGTGTGTGTGACCGTAGCCTACATTGATTAAATACTTGCAGTATACACAGTAAAGCAAGCAAGCTGTTAAGGTGAACCAACTCGTGGCAAACCCTCGTGGCAAAATTTTACAGATCTGGGAGGGTCTTTTTTTTAGAAATATACATTGATTAAATACTTGCAGTATACACAGTAAAGCAAGCAAGCTGTTAAGATGAACCTACTCGTGGCAAACCCTCCGAGTTCCACTTCATGGGGCATTCAGGGCAAGAGAGGGGCAGAGGTGGTTTGCCATTGCCTTCCTCTGCATAGCAGGCGCAGTCTTCCATAGCGGTCTCCCATCCAAGTCCTGCCTGCTTAGCTTCCAAACTCTTATGAGACCAGGCTAGACTGGGCTATCAGGGCTGCTATGGAATACACGAAGGGGAACATAATTCTGCGCCTTTTGAGAGCAAAAGGGACAGCTGGATAATAATCATGTATCGACAAATGAAAGAGAGAAGAGACCATTTGGATAATGTCAGGGAACAACGCTCACGGTACTCGGGAGCTTAAATTCTGTGTCTGATACCAGAATTTGGCACCTGAACACTACAGTAGTAGGAGACTTTGGAAACGTTTAACTAGCCCAATCTAAGATGCCCAAGAGGAGATTACCTTGTCTCCAAGGTAGGAGCTGGGAGCGTGCCAATAAAGTTCCTGGAAGGCCTCGGGGAAATTCCTGAGATCAGCACGAACCACTTCCTCCTCCAGGCTGACTGAGGTGGGTACTTCCTGGCGGTCTCCACTTAGCAAGCTCCACCCGCTCATGTCAATAAACTATAAGGAAGAAGGGGGGGGAAGTCCTGTGAAATATTTCGAAAAGCTTTAAGATCAGCAAATACTGGCTTATCCAAGATTTCACTGAAGTGTTGTAAGACGGAGCTGTTTCACCAGGCCTTTGGTTGAGGCGAAGGGTATCCAATGAAGTCGGCCTCCCTCACTGAAGTTTTGTCACCATTATTCAGCCCAGATTAAGAAAACCTTTGGATCCAGCCATTCCAGCTGAAACTGTGTTTTAGTTATACACAGGTTTTTAAAAATTGTATTACTTAGGCCCTGTTCATACGAGGGGTTTTGGTCCGGGAGCGAGACAGAACGGGGGCGGAGCAAACGGGCGCGATCCCACGGCAACATCTGGGAATCGTTGCCTGCCCATCCCCGATCCGTCCCTCCCACCTGAAAACCCGCACTAAAAAGAACCACCTACCTGGGTGGTTCTTCCGAAGTAGAGCACCTCAAACCGGCCGTGGGATCGGCCGGCGCATCCTTGCGCCAGCACATCCTGGCCCCCGGTCGAACTGCGCATGCTTTTCGGCAGCCTCCCCCTTCCCTCCGACTCTTCCTCCCCGGCATCTGATCGTGCCGGGGAGCGATGCAACGTGGCTTTGGGGATCCGTGGGATCCCGCCGCAGCGTCGCAAGTTTGGTGCGGCTTTTAAAAGCCGCGCTTTTCACTGTGTTTTCCCTGCCGTGTGGCAGGGGCCCCAGTTGTTTTAAATATTGTTATATTTATTAATGTATGTTTTTATCTATTTATGATGTGATCCGCTCTGGGCCCGCTCGCGGGGAGGGCAGAATACAAATCCAAATAGAACAAATAAATACAATTATGATCAGAAATTCATGGGTAGATAATGAGTTTGTCATTTTGTCTTCCACCCAGACTAATGCTGTGCCTATCTGTTCGTGGGATGGCATGGATCTGTCATGACGGGATATGTTGGTGTTAAAGAGCTAGAAATGTATTCCAGTTGATTACTTCAGCCGACAGATACAGCAATGCCAGAATAGGTGTCTGGAAGAAACAGTGTTCCTTTTCAGCTTAACACAGTTTGAGTCCAGAGGCACCTTTAAGACTGAAAAAGTTTTATTCCTGGAATAAGCTTTAATCTGCGCACACAGTTCTTCAGATACACTGAAATGGAAGTTACCAGCCCATATAGATACATACAGATAGATTTCAATGTATCTGAAGAAGTCTGCATGCACACAAAAGCTTATAACAGGAATAAAACTTTTTCGGTCTTAAAGGTGCTATTGGACTCAAACTTTGTTCTGCTGCTTCAGACCAACACGGCTACCCCACCTGAATCCCTTTTCAGCTTGGTTACTTAACCTATCTGGTTTTACATTATTAGCTCTGCTCTACAGCTGAGATTCCTTCAAAAAGGTATACACCCTGCTGGATAATGGGCTATGTCTGAAAGCATTCATGTGGGAAAGGGTAGCACTAAGAATTGTGGCATAGTAGTATGAAGTTGTGTAGGGGCATGTCTCTGTTTAGGACTAAATAATATTTAGATGCCTTCTAGATCCATCATTCTCTTCCATGAATCATAAGATCCAAGCCAGACTGGATGGCACATTTTGCCTCACCAGGCTATTGCAAATACTTCCACTTATGTTAGGTAATAACATCTCTGAATATTACTGAACATTGCTAAAATGAATGGCAGTAGGTTTGGGGTGGACAAAGTAAAGCACATGTGCATAATTAATTTTCAGGAATCCACTGCCACCAGATATGGTGGTGATCACTAACTCAGGCGGCATTAAAAAAAAAAAAAGGTTTTGGTCTTTGACACTGCACCACTTGTGACTCACCTAATCAAATTAAGCCCACTGGCCACATAGGTAAAGGTAAAGGTTCCCTTGCTCGAAAGCCAGTTGAATCCGACTCTAGGGTTGCGGTGCTCATCTCCGTTTCAAAGCCAAAGAGCCAGCACTGTCCAAAGACGTTTCCGTGGTCATGTGGCCGGCATGACTAAACACCAAGGCGCACGGAATGCTGTTACCTTCCCACTGAAGTGGTACCTATTTATCTACTTGCAATTTCTTGCTTTCGAACTGCTAGGTTGGCAGGAGCTGGAACTAGAGACGGGAGCTCACTCCGTCATGCGGCACACTCGGGTCTCGAACTGCTGAACTACCGACCTTCCACAGCCTGCAGTTCAGCGTCTTAACCACTTGAGCCACCACAGCTCCTACTGGTCACATACTGTGGCCCATAAAGTGCTGAACAGCACTTCCCCTTTGCAGTCCAAGGTAAAGGTAAAGGTAAAGTTTCCCTTGCTTGAAAGCCAGTTGAATCCGACTCTAGGGTTGCGATGCTCATCTCCGTTTCAAAGCAGGTGGCAAAAAAGTAGAAGAGTTGGATTTATACCTACCCTTCATTTCAGAGCGGCTTACAATCTCCTTCCCTTCCCCTCCCCACAACAGACACCCTGTGAGGTAGGTGGGGCTGAGAGAGCTCTGAGAAAACTGCTCTCGAGAGAACACCTCTGAGAGAACTGTGACTGACCCAAGGTCGCCTAGCTGGCTGCATGTGGAGGAGTGGGGAATCAAACCCGGTTCTCCAGATTAGAGTCCACCGCTCCTTAACCACTACACCAAACTGACTATTTATTCATCCCTGGTGGATAGCCATGCTTTGCTAGTGGGCTTTGGGTTTTGTGGGTCACGAGGGTTGTGCAGGCCTGGATAAGAAAGTAATGGAGGACAAGATCTATCAATAACTATTTGTTTTGATGGCTAAGTAAGAAACTCCATGTTCAGAGGCAGTACAGCAGATGCTGGAAGTCAAGAACAACGGACAGAAAGCTGCTGCTTTTCCGCTCTGCTTGCAAGCTTCCTGGAAACATTTGTCTGCCCTTGACAGAAACTGGATGGACCCCTTGGTCTGATCTGATCCAACAGGGCTTTAATGTTACAACATCATAACGCCTGTTGTTGGCAGCTGCTTCAGACGCTTGTATAATGCAACGTGGTATGTGGGCCCTGTTGGGTGATCTGTGCACTTATGTCTGCTTATGCTATTTATAGTCTGCCTTTCTCACGGAGTCTCAAGGCAGATTACACAGAACAAGTCAATACGATCAACCGAGTGGGACCTCCAATGAATAGTGCAACAGTGTCTGGACTGCAGGAGTGTGAAAACAAGCAGAAATCGAAAAGCAGGTCTGAAAAACAAACCTGAAACAAAGTATAGCATTTAAACACGGCATGATCGAACAGTGCAGAAACCACACAGCAGGAGCATGCGTACAGCAAAAAGCAACGCTATTGTACGTAACAGGCCGCAGTCCCTGACCCTCTACATGAGAACATAAGAGATGCCAATGTTGGATCAGGCCAGTGGCCCATCCAGTCCAACACTCTGTCACACAGTGGCCAAAACCCAGGTGCCATCAGGAGGTTCACCAGCAGGGCCAGAAATCCACAAGCCCTCCCCCTGTTGCCCCCCAAGCACCAAGAACACAGAGCATCACTGCCCCAGACAGAGTGTTCCAACTATATGCGGTGGCTAATAGCCACAGACGAACCTCGGCTCCATATGCTTATCCAATCCCCTCTTGAAGCTGTCTATGCTTGTAGCTGCCGCCACTTCCTGTGGCAGTGAATTTCACGTTAATTATTCTTTGGGTGAACTTTTTGAACCATAACATTATAGTGGTATTACCCATACAGAAAAGCCCTCTTGAATAATTCTCCTTTGTATTGTTTGCAGAAAGAAGAAGAGATTGGATTTATACCCCGCCCTTCACTCGGAGTCTCAGAGCGGCTTACAAACTCCTTTCCCTTCCCGTCCCCACAACAGACACCCTGTGAGGTAGGTGGGGCTGAGAGAGCTCTTTGCAGAACTGCCCTTGAGAGAACAGCCAGAAGAGTGGGAGTCTTCCTACGCCCATCAGGGTGGCCATTCCATAAAATGGGAGCTCCAACAGAGAACTGGACACACTGAAGGCTCAAAGTCTAGAGGAGACTAACAGACGTGCGAGCACGGAGGAAACGTCCTCAAAAAGATCCAGGAGAGTAAAAGAGACTCAGCTTCTTCGCTAATTCAGATGGCAAGATTATAACAATGGGTTTTAATTAAGGGTGGGATATTAGGAAAAACTTTTTTGTAGTATGAGTTGTTCAACAATGGAATCAGCTGCCTCGGGAGGTGGTGAGCTCCCCCTCACTGGCAGTCTTTAAGCAGCGGCTGGACAAACACCTGTCAGGGATGCTCTAGGCTGATCCTGCATTCAGGAGGGGGTTGGTTGGACTAGATGGCCTGTAGGGCCCCTTCCAACTCTGTGATTCTATGATTCAGGTGCCCCTCAGCACTCCTGCTCCAGATCTGGATAATTGTGGCCATCCGGCAAGTGAAGAAAGAAAAGATTCCCATTACTCTACCTCTCTTGAGGTATCAACAATTACAACCACCGGTCTCGCACAATCACCTGCACGCGGTACTTCTCGGTGCTGTGACAGCGGTCCGTTGCCCCAAAGCAGAAGCACCGGGTGCAGCCGTTGGGGTTGTTTGCATCCAGAGAGAAGGTCCCCAGATGGCACTGGTCGCACCTTGGTCCTTCCACGTTTTCCTAGAAAAGATTTAAGAATGGGAAAAGGATGTGTTTACATGTCTCCCATTATCTGCTGATTAGAAGAGGGGGAAAAGGGAGGAACAAGAAAACTTGAGAACTGAAGAGGGGGGTTCTTCAGGCGCGTTTGGACAAAGGGGCAGCTTATGAGCTGCCACATGAACGCAAGTGGAAGCTGTACTGAGAACAACAACATATTTCTACGGAACGATATAATCAGCATTTTCCTTCATCCAGATGGAAATGACCCACCGGGTTTGGTCTCACAGATCTGTTCTGCTAGTGGTGGTGCATTCCTCTGGTGCAAGGAGCCTGTCACATCAGTGGATGCCTTTGTACCAGAGGAAAATGCCACTGTCAGCCCTCTTTTTAAACTATGTACATAAATGCTGTCAAGTCACAACTGACTTATGGAGACCCCAGGAAGGGACTCTCAAGGCAAGTGAGAAGCAGAGGTGGTTTGCCATTGGCTTCCTCTGCAGAGCCTTCCTTGGTGGGCTCCCAACCCAGTAGCAACCCTGCTTAGCCTCCAAGATCTGAGAAGATCGGGCTATACCGCCCCTCCCTTTTAAAACTATGTCTTATGTCATTAGAACATCCCTACAACAGAATGTAGGGCTACATGGGGGCTATGAGAGAAGGAGGAAAGAAATTGGATTTGTAACCCGCCCTTCACTGCCCGAAGGAGTCTCAGAGCGGCTTACAATCTCCTTTCCCTTCCCCTCCCCGCAACAGACACCCTGTGAGGTAGGTGGGGCTGAGAGAGCTCTCTTGAGGACTGCCCTTGAGAGAACAGCTGTGAATGAACTTGCAACTGACCCAAGGTCACACCAGCAGCTGCAAGTGGAGGCGTGGAGAATCAAACCCGGTTCTCCCAGATTAGAATCCACGCTCCTAACCACTACACCAAACTCGCCAGTATGGTATAGCGGTTTAGATTCCCCACTCCTCTTCCACATGAAGCCTGCTGGGTGGCCTTAGGCCTCCCTGTCAAAACTCTCACAAGGTGCCTGTTGTGGGGAGAGGGAAGAGAAGGTGATTGTAAGCCACTTTGAGACTCCTTAGGGTAGAGGGAAGTGGGGTATAAAAACCTACTCTTTGTCTTCTACTACATCGCTCAGTGGGCCAGTCACAGCCACTCCTTGCTATGTTACGGTTCTTATTCACTTGCTTTTTAACAATTTTTCGACCCAGCAGTATCTGCACTGCTTCGTAAAAGCTTACACTACCTCGGTGTCTTGCTGCGGATCTATTAACAGTTGCTAAATTAAAAGCAAAGGCTGTGTTTACACAGCAATGGAGTTATCCTATCAGCTGCCCCTGGGAGAAGGCAGGTATAGATTTATTGGCAGCCCACCTAAAGAAAGGTTGTTCTTCCTCATTCGGCTGTTGTTGGTTTTTGTCTGTTTGTTTCATTGCTCACAGAGAAACGCATGACTGAGCTTCCTCAGCACGGTAGGAATGAGCAATTATACAGTTCCACGCTGCCGATTTCCACAAATGTGCTGATATGCACAATCGCTGCTTACACTCAATCCGTTCTGCTTCGGCAGCAGGTTAGAAAGACATTGAAGAACACAGGGAGAAACCTGATCCGCTGCATTTAGGAACAAGAGTGCTGACCTCAACCTTGGAATTCTGTTCCCCAAAATCTTTTTGTATCTTAAATGTTCTGAAAGGACAGCTGGCTCAATGGAAAGCGGTACAACTGCAACACAAACTGTGGCTCTTGAATGATACTGGCTTCCAAGCCTGCCTTCTGCAAATAAATTCGGTCCTACATCGGCCAGCAGTAAAGCAGCTCTACACATCATCTCTAACAGCTCTGCCTCAGGCATGAATTTTCATTCTGGCATGAACGGAATCATTTCCCAAGATCCTGGGCTCAAGGCAAAAAAAAAAAAAGTCACAGCCCGTAGCAAAGCTTCAGTAATGTTTTTGTTCCTACGCACAGAGAGCTGGCTCCTCAGCTATGACTCAGTGGCGCTTGCCAGTTAATTAACTCTAGAAAGTCATACAGAAGCCCCACTGCAAGAGACAACATCCCATTATGTGCTCAGAAAACAGCTGAGTGGCAACAGGGCAAATGGCATTGGCAGTGCAGAGAGATTTATGGAGTTCGATGCCATCGGGCACTGATGGGCACAAGCACTCGACAAAATCCTTCTCCAGTTCCTTCGCCAGCCACTTCAACTGCAGCATGCCCAGCAGCTGACACATCAGACTCACCTTGCAGTGACACTGGCCAGTGACCGGATCGCACACGTCTGCTTTTGTCCCTGCTCGGTGACAGTCACAAGGCCTGCAGTTTGGGTACCCATAGTAGCCTGGGGCACAGAGGTCACACTGCCGTCCCATGATGTTGGGCTTGCACCTGAAAAAAGATAAAACGTTTTACATTCGTTTCTCCAACTTGTTTCTAATGTGGAACTTAGGCCTTTGAGGAACTCAGCTGACATCCGGAGGATTGATTCAGAGGCGCAGCCATGTTGGTCTGAAGCAGTAAAAGAAAGTTGCAGTCCAGTGGCACCTTTAAGACACACAAAGTTAAGCTTTTGTGTGGGTGCTGTCTGCAGAAGAAATATGCATGGACACGAACGCTTATATCCAGGAATAAACTTTATTTGGTCTTTAAGGTGCCACTGGACTCAAACTTTGTTCCGGAGGATGGGTTTATGAATCTCCTGCCTCACAACACGATAGGAAGGACTCTGACATCTCTAGCAAGAGCCAGGATTTTCCAGGGGTGATTCAAGGCCTTTCAGACCAACAGGACAACAGAAGAAAGAACTTGAAAAGTAAATGTGCCTTTCCAAAATAGAATACATGAAACATGCTCAGTATTCCAACAAAGAAGAGATTTGTAGATATCTACAATTGAGGACCTGCAAGAAACTTGCGGGGAGGGTGCATCCCTTCTCCCTGTACGTGGCAAGCTCATTAGCTGCTTCTGCCAATCATCATTTTCCATTCCCTCTGAAGCAGGGTTTGTGCTTGCCCCGCAAATTAGGCTTACAAACTGGGAACAAACCATGGTTTGGAATCATTGTTTGCAAGCTGTAGTTTGCTGCTTTGGATATACAGGCAGCTTGTTGAGAAAGCAGCTGATTAGCTTCATGTGTGGTGCAGGGGAAATCACGAGAGCAAGCCCGAAGCACCTTCAAGGCTCATTCTAGTAACGGCCAACCACGATTTCCCGTTACAATTGAACCCAGCCAAGCACCACCGTGTCATCTTGAGGAAACAAAGTCACTACCTTGGGGCAACGGCCTGGCCCAACCACCAGTGAAGCACAAGCAAAATGCCTGCAAATACAAGGTCTACCACTAGGCAAAGGCAAGGAAAAGTGGCTTTGTTTGCAGACTCCCACCTGTTTGGCTGTAGTGGTTTGGTGTAGTGGTTAAGTGTGCGGACTCTAATCTGGGAGAACCGGGTTTGATTCCCCACTCCTCCGCTTGCAGCTGCTGATGTGACCTTGGGTCAGTCACAAGCTCGGGCACAGCTGTTCTTGAAAAAGAGCAGTTTCTGTCAAGAGCTCTCTCAGCCCCACCCACCTCACAGGGTGTCTGTTGTAGGGACAAATGCCTGCAAATACAAGGGCTACCACTAGGCAAAGGCAAGGAAAAAGTGGCTTTGTTTGCAGACTCCCACTTGTTTGGCTCTTAAACGTTGAGGTGAATTGAATGGGGAGCTTGGCAGGTGGAATGCCATCTCTCTGTGCAAATCGGCCTGGCTCCACTAGAAACATTCAAGCCACAAGTGATCCAGTCAACACAGTAGGATTTGTATGTGTGTGGGGGGGGGGGCGCGCGATCCAGGTCAGTACATTCACTCTTCACTTTTTAACATAGCAAAATCTGGATTCTAAGGCTTGTGTACGTTCCTTCAAGGTTAGCACAACTGTATGCAAATTCTGTGCCTAATTTATTCTGTTTCTGCTTGTTGGAACGTATGAGAGCTGCCTTATACTGAATCAGAGTATCTACTCAGACTGGCAGCAGCTCTCCAGGGTCTCCACTCTTTCATAGCATCTTAAATAGGATTTAAAATGTGTAATTCCCTGACACAGGATGTAAAGACAGAGGATGTAGAGATAGACAGCTTTAAAGGGGAATTAGATGGATTTATGGAAAATAGGTCTATCAGTCGCTACTAGCCATGGGGACTGAGGGGAACCTCCATGTTCAGAGGCAGTCGGCCTCTGAATCCCAATGCCAGGGAAGGTCTCAGCCTCAATGCCCTGTTGTTGGCCCTCCAGAGGAACTGGCTCGCCACTGTGTGAGACAGGATGCTAGAGGCATCGCCAGCCAATGCAGCACAATGACCTTGAAAGTCACTGGGTAATGTTGGAAGCCATTGGGAGGGCAGGTCTACTGGGGGCTCTCGCAACATACTTGAGGACTTAGTCTACCTTTGTTTCTGGGGTTCAGGCCTGTAGACGCTGCCCCTCAAAACAGGTTGTTCTTTGATTGGGGTTGCTGGCTCAGCTAGGTTAAGCAGGCCTTCATAGCTACTTCTGGGCATGGTTATAATGGGTTACCTATTATGTCTGCATCTGTATCAAGGAGTGGACTGGACAACGCATCAAAGGATGGGTCACTGTCGCTTGGGACAGACATGACAATTCAGGGAATGCAAAAAGCCCAGCCAGTGCCAACTCTATCACAGATCCATTAAGGGGCTTTTGGGAAGCCTCTCCCATCTGTAAAACGATGGCTCACCATCATGCGGTTGTTGAAATAATCAGATGGAAATTGAAAAGGCAAGGCAGTGGCAACACGGTGTGTAATGAACTTCACTCATGTCAGCTGGGGGGTCTGCAGGTGCCAACCTGCAAATGGGCAAAATCAACAATTCCTCTACTTGTGCCTTCTCCATTGTAGCTTCCATTTTGTGCAACGGCCTTGGCCCGAGGAAGTCAGGAAAGCTCCCACTCTTCTGGCCTTCTGCAAACTATGGAACACTGAACTGTTAGAGGGCTTTTCTGTACAGGTAATAGGAGCTGCGGTGGCTCAAGTGGTTAAGACGCTGAACTGCAGGCTGTGGAAGGTCAGTAGTTCAGCAGTTCGAGACCCAGGTGCCGCATGATGGAGTGAGCTCCCGTCTCTACTTCCAGCTCCTGCCAACCTAGCCATTTGAAAGCAAGAAATTGCAAGTAGATAAATAGGGACCACTTCGGTGGGAAGGTAACAGCGTTCTGTGCACCTCGGTGTTTAGTCATGCCGGCCACATGACCACGGAAACGTCTTCGGACAGCGCTGGCTCTTTGGCTTTGAAACGGAGATGAGCACCGCAATCCTAGAGTCGGATTCGACTGGCTTTCAAGCAAGGGAACGTTTACCTTTACCTTTTTAATAGGGTCACACACCACACACAATGGTTCTCAAACTTACTTGGATAAGTGATTGTGACAGTGGTCTATACTGCTACATATAGTTTATTGTAAGTAAGATTCTTATGTAATTTCTGTACTGCTTAATGTGTCATGTCAACAGCTGCGCTATGCTTCAGTTCTTACTGGTCATTCTAGACTTCTACAATCCTAATGCGCTGCTTATTGAGTGTCTTATTTTGTTCATTGTGCTGCTGACTCACTATGGGTAATCCCCCTTGAGTCCCTGTAAGAAAGGCGGACTATAAATAACGAATAAATAAAATATTGGATCAAGGTGCCTTTGGGCTGAGGGAAGTCTGAATTTGTGCTGGTTACAAAGGTAGCACAGTGAGGTATAAAAACAATGCTGTCCACTATGCACAGGACTGGCGCCCAGTCGTACCCACCTGCACTGTCCACTGTCTGTGTTACATCCCAGCTCTGTCAGGTCTTGGATGCCGGCGTGAGAACAATTGCAGTCCTCGCAGCCCACCAATGGATGGCAGCCGAAGGTGTGGGGCTCGCAGACGATGCACTCTGGCTTGATGGTGCGCGGCGGGCAGATGCACTGCCCCGTCAGCTCATCGCAAAGACGAGTCCCGCAGTCGCAGGCTGAAAGCGAAAAGCGGCAGGTGAGTATCACAAAGGACACACACACGCCCATGAAAGCACACGGCATCATTGGCCCGGGGCATCTGTCCGAATACCCTATCCTGATGCCCATTCAGATCGGCAGGGCACTTCTAATGATATTCTGAAACCTGGAGAGCCGATGCTTCTGGCTTGAAGGACTGGCCGTCGTGGGCCTGGCCAATACATTCTTTGGACAGCTGCTCCATAGCAGCAAAACCACGCAGCAAGCCAGTTTTGAGCGTGGCAGATGTGGATTTTCCAGCCGACAAAATTTAAGGCAGAAATGGAAGCCGAGAAGATGGGGCAGGTGGCTGAACGGCTGGATTTTCTCTCCCTCTCAGCCAAAAGCAAAGTAGCAAGATCTCTCCTCAGTTAGGGAATACAGCTGCTGACAAGCATCTCATCTCTCCCCCACTCTCTGACAAGTGATGCAGGACGCTGGCAGGATGCTGGCAGACAGCTCACGGACAAAAACAGGAATCTGAAGCGGGTGGATTTTTGTTATTTCCATGTAAATCGGCTGAGCGCTGACGGTCAAGGGAATAGAGTTGGGTTTCTACGCCAAAGATGTGGCATATATTTTTTTAAGAAAAATGCTTAAAAAAGAAATTGAGCAGATGAATCACTGTAGATTCTAACGAAATATTTTTTCGTCCATGGAAGATGGGAATTATATTTCCATAGATGGACACCAATAGAAGACATTATGCTGGAAGGGAAGGACTAAGTGGATTTTTCACCTGAACTGACTGCAGCTGAGGGACTAGATTTCAGCCAGTATGCACTTGTACGCCCTTCTGGAAAATTCACACTGCAATCCTAAACAGAGTTACACTCTTCCAAGCCTTAGAAAGCGCGTCACTCTGCTTAGGAAAGCCAGTATAGGCTAGTGACCCAGGTTCAAATCTCCACTCATGCCATGGAAGCTGGCTGGGTGACCCTGGGCCAGTCACATTCTCTCAGCCTAACCTACCTCACAAGGGTTGTTGTGAGGATACAATGGAGGAGAAGAAAATGATGTTAAGCTGCTTTGGGTCCCCACTGGGGCGCAAGGCAGGATATAAATAAAATAAAAATAAAATTAGGATAGCGCTGTCAGAGTGGGTTCTCCCCCTCCCCCCCATTCCCATGTAGGACCCTTATGGATGTCCTTCTGTAGGAATAATTCTAAAGCGGTCCCATTTGGTCAGCAAAAGCCCTCGGGGGGTAACATACAGAACTGACAGACATGAAGCTGCCTTGTCCTGAATCAGACCCTTGGCAGTGATCTGGCAGTGGCTCTCCAACATATAGAATCATAAAAGGGGCCATAGAGGCCATCTAGTCCAACCCCCTGCTCAGTGCAGGATCAGCCTAGAGCATCCCTGACAAGGGTTTGTCCAGCCGCTGCTTAAAGACTGCCCGGGTGAGGGGGGGGAGCTCACCACCTCCCTACGCAGCTGATTCCACTGCTGAAGGACTCTTACTATAAACAACTTTTTCCTAATATCCAGCAGGTACCTTCCCGCCCTTAATTTAAACCGATGACTGCCGATTAACCCGATGATTGCCAGGTCCTCTCCACTGCTGCCCATAGGAGCGGCTCCCTCAGCCCTCCTCAAAGTGACACAGAATCACAGAATGACATAGAATCAGCATAGGCTAGTCATCCTTATTAAGCAGAGGTCCTTCACATCATGAGGAGCTGCGGTGGCTCAAGTGGTTGAGACGCTGGACTGCAGGCTGTGGAAGGTCGGTAGTTCAGAAGTTCGGGACCCGAGTCTGCTGCATGACGGAGTGAGCTCCCATCTCTAGTTCCAGCTCCTGCCAAACTAGCAGTTCGAAAGCAAGAAATTGCAAGTAGATAAATAGGTACCACTTCGGTGGGAAGGTAACAGCGTTCCGTGTGCCTTGGTGTTTAGTCATGCTGGCCACATGACCACGGAAACGTCTTCGAACAGCGCAGGCTCTTCGGCTTTGAAACGGAGATGAGCACCGCAACCCTAGAGTCGGATTCGACTGGCTTATTTCGACCAAGGGAACCTTTACCTTTTACTTCACATCATCTTCTACTTGGACCTTTCAACCGGAGATGCCAGGGACCAAAACTGCACCTTCTGCATACCAAGTAGATGCTCTATCACTGAGCCACAGTTTCTCCCCAGATCACCCACTTCATGATCCTTCTCAACTGGTGATGCCGGGGACTGAACCTCTGGGACTTTCTGGAGGCAAGGCAGAGGCTCTTTCACTGAGCCACAACCCCTCCCCTATGGGCAATGAAGCAATGCGGTGGCAAAAAAGGCAAATTCAGTCTTGGGTTGTATTAAAAGGGCCATAGCACTGAAATCGCAGGAGGTCACAGCCCCTCTGTATACTGCCTTGGTCAGGCCACACCTGGAGTACTGTGTGCAGTTCTGGAGGCCTCACTTCAAAAGGGATGTGGGCAAAATCGAGAGGGTGCAGAAGAGAGCGATGAGGATGATCAGGGGTCTAGAGACTGAGCCCTACGAGGAAAGGCTAAGGGGAATGTTCAGTCTGAAGAAGAGGAGATCGAGGGGGGACATGATTGCTCTCTTTAAATATTTGAAAGGTTGTCATTTGGAGGAGGGCAAGGAGCTGTTCCAGTTGGCAGCAGAGGAGAGGACCCGAAGCAACAGGTTTAATTTACATGCAGAAAGGTATCGGTTGGATATTAGGAACCACTTTTTCACGGTCAGAGTGGTTCAAGGGTGGAATCAGCTGCCTAGGGAGGTGGTGAGCTCCCCTTCACTGACAGCTTTCAAGAAGAGGCTGGATGAATATTTGTCAGAGATGCTTTAGGCTGGTCCTGCATTGGGCAGGGGGTTGGACTAGATGGTCTGTATGTCCCCTTCCAACTCTATGATTCTATCTGAATAACCTACTCACATAACAGCTGTATGGGATTTGAGACACGCAGGCAATTCATGCAGATCTAGAAACAGTGTACAAGTCATCCTTGAAAAGCACGATTTCCCCCCACCCTGCACAGAAAGGCACTCACGCCTGCAGCTGGGGAAGCCCCAGTAGCCCGTGGCACAGCGGGAACACTCTCGCCCAATGATGTTGGCCTTGCAAGAGCACTGGCCGCCAAACGGCTCACACTGGCTCCGGACAGCACCTGCTTCATGGCAGTGGCACGGCTGGGCCCCGTTGTTGTAAAAGAGAGAGATGGAGACAGTAGAGTCCTGGCAGAATCTGGATGATGTCACCGGGCTGCGGACAGGGAAAGAAAGGGACATTTCTGATTTGGGGGTTTCACCATGGTGCATCCCATGAGTTAATTAAAACTTGCAGCCCATCCTGTTCTGGCACTTCTCCTGGCAGACATGAAGACTAGTCTGACAAAACTAAGCAGCCGTGGTTATCAGACTCTGCACTTGGACAGCTCAACTAATCTTGTACAGAATACACCAGGGAATCCCAGTGTGGTAGTCGCGGGCCCCATGGGACCAACAAACACCTTTCCTGGTGTCCACCAAGAATCTTTAGCAAATGAGCAAGGCCATTCAGGGTTGTTTTTTCTCAGCAAGGCTTCTGACTAGCCACTGGAGATTTGATTGGCTGTGCAGCTTTTTAAGAACGTTCCTTTAGCAACAGCTGCCACCACAGCACAAGGATCTTCATGTGTGACTGAAGGTAACCTAGGGCAGCCATTTTGTAAGTGCACCCATCGCACTGTGTCAGACGTCCAGAGGTGCCCAGAGACTCAAAAAGATTGGGGACCCCTGGAACATACACACGCGCCAGTGTTCCCTCTAAGCTGAGTTCGTGTGAGCTAGCTCACAGTTTTTTAAGCCTCCAGCTCACACATTTCTGTCTTAGCTCTGGGCCCCGTTTTTGTAAAAGAGAGAGACCCTTAGCCAGACGGCTCGCTCACAACTTTAATGCCAGTAGCTCACAAAGTAGAATTTGTGCTCACAAGACTCCACGGCTTGGAGGGAGCATTGACACGTGCTGCTCAAAGGGTGGACAAAGAAACTAAAAATTAAAGAGCCGTGTTACTTAAAGAAGTACGTTTCAGATGGGTAGCTGTCTTGTGAGTAGAAGAGCCAGATTTGAGTCCAGTAGCCCTTTAAAGACCCTGGAAATCTTGATGGTTTTTAAGATGCTACTGGACTTCTAAAGAACTAAAGGAACTTTGCGAAGGAGCTTGAAACAGAATTAAGGTTGTATAAAAGAACGGTTTTAAATAATAATTGAGAAAAGTTTGGTTACATCCAATTCCAGATGAACTCATCAGGCTACCTAGAGGACAGGGAGAACAGGGACTTAGGGTCTTTTCCTCATGGTGTAATGCAGAAAGGCTTATTTGTGAAGCGAGGCTCTCACTTGATATAGAAGCTGTTGACGCCACAGTTGCTGATGAAATCATAGGATTTGTCTAGGGGTTCCTCTACAAGATAGCTGGAGTCGTAACTGTCCTCAGGAACCACGAGGATGTAATCCTAAAAGCAGACAAACGAGTTAAAGCGGGGATCGGGGTGAGCCGGCAACCCTCCCAACTGGATTACCCCTTTCTAGGATCCCAGAACAATCCTTTTGGGAATTTTAACGGAGTTATACAATATATCTTTACTTTTATTAAGCAACATTCGACTTTGGCCTTATTTTCTGTCTTTGTACACACTCTGTGCCACTTCTATTCTTCAAGTGGCAGAGAACCACTGCAGAAGAAGGAGAAGAAGATGAAGAAGGAGGAGGAGGAGGAGAAGAAGAAGATTATTTGGATAGGTGGGGCTGAGAGAGTTCTGACAGAAACTGCTCTTTTTCAAGAACACCTCTGAAAGAACTATGGCTTGCCCAAGGTCATCCAGCCAGGTGCAAGTGAAGGAGTGGAGAATCAAACCCGGTTCTCCCAGATTAGAGTCCGCGCACTTAACCACTACACCAAACAGAAGATGGAGATGATTTGAAATTCCTCTTTTCACCCCTTGGGGAAAAGGACTGCATGTGGAAATGAGGCTTCTATGCGGAATACTTGCATCATGTGATGTTATCTGTACCAAAGAATGGAATTGGAAGCACCTCCGCCCCACAACAGTGTACAAACTTCCCACTGTTCTTGACAATGCACAATTCTGTCAACACAGCTGGATGCTGGCTGATGCCCTTAACCAATGAGCAAGAAGAAAGCACGAGTTCTACCTAGGCTGGATAGCCATATGAATGGGGATTTGTCTAGGATGAAAAGGGGTTGCAAGGCTTCTGAATTATTTGGGAAGGATGCAGACCGCATTTTTACACCTTCATCAGTCCTTGCCATCAACCCTTACAGATGAGACAAAGAGATTTCCAAGTTAGGGCCTCACCAGCCAAAGATGTCGGTTCTCCGGTACGCGGATGATCACGCTCAGGTCATTATCCGTAACGTCCAGGACAATCTGGTTCTCAGAAACCACCAGGCTCCGGCAACCATAGCCATGTGGACAGAAAGTGGCATTAGCTTGACCTGAAGAGTCAGAAAACATAGAGACGGTTAGGTAACGTGCCCTATCCCGTTTTGCTGTAAACACGGGCAGTCTCCTGCTTTGGTTGTGGTCTCCCCACACCACTGATATGTTCTACAGGGAGACTGGGGGGGAATGCGACATCAGGCACTATAGGAAATAATCTTCTTGGGTCTGCACAGGGAAACGATGGCCAGTTTAGGTACAAATGACTTGCTCGGCTCTTTAAAACCTACCTAACCACCCTGTAGAATGAGCCCCAGATCAAATCAAGCCTGACCCTCTGCCTAGAATATAAAATGATCGAATGGAGGCTATCATACTTTGATCATATTATGAGAAGACAAGAATCCCTGGGGGAAAGAACAATACTATGGAAAGCTGAAGGCGGCAGGAAAAGAGGAAGACCGAGCGAGGGACGGACTGACTCTAGTCAAGGAAGCCGCAGCCCTCAGCCTGCAAGACCTGAGCAAGGCTGTGGACAACAAGACATTCCGGAGGCCATTCATTCATAGGGTTACCCTAAGTCGGAAGCAACTTGAGAGCACTTCACACACACACACACACAGAATGAGCCGCATCATGACTCTGTGCGCCACTTACCCTGCCAAATCCGGCCACCGTTGATCAACACTTCGATGGGGAAAGTTGGATGACTGGGCTGGTAGCAGTGCAGAATGAAGGCGTAGCGTCCCAGGCTCTGGATGCGGCCATTTAACGCAATGGTTGTCTATAACGAAACACAAGCCCAGTCACCCCTGCCATTATTGTTTATGGCATTTGTGCAGGTTTCTAATGCACGGTACCCCTTTGGTTCAGGCCACAGGTGGGGTTAGGGGGGCTTCTGGCTCCATTCCAGCCCTGCAAGCCAGGGGAAGCCCCTCTCAGATATATGGAAGAAGAAGAGGAAGAGGAAGAGGAAGAAGAGGAAGAAGAAGAAGAAGAAGAAGAAGAAGAAGAAGAAGAAGGAAGAAGAAGAAGAAGAAGAGGAGGAGGAGATTGGATTTATACCCCGCCCTTCACTCGGAGTCTCAGAGTGGCTTACAAACTCCTTTCCCTTCCCCTCCCCACAACAGACACCCTGTGAGGTGGGTGGGGCTGAGAGAGCTCTTGACAGAAACTGCCCTTTTTCAAGGACAGCTGTGCCAGAGCTTGTGGCTGGCCCAAGGTCACATCAGCAGGTGCAAGTGGAGGAGTGGGGAATCAAACCCAATTCTCCCAGATTAGAGTCCGCACACTTAACCACTACACCAAACTGGCTGCTGCACCAAACTAGCTGCTGGTGCTGGTGCTGCTAACAACTTATTTCCCTCCTGCCTCATGGAGGCACCTAGAGATGACTATGATGCCCTGCGGTGCTGTCACCTGCATTACAGTTTCTTCACCGCTCTTTGGAGGCCTCCTGTCAAGCTCGGCCTAACTTTCGATTCCTTCCAGACCTGTCTCCTTTCTCCTCGTTTGTCATGTTAAATTCCTAAGGGGGGAGTGAGTGTTGTTGGAGTGCATGGGAGTAGGAGCTGCAATTATCTTGAAGCGTGCCCCCCAAGTGTCTGTTCCCCGTGGGATTGACCCTGGAGATCTTTATGCCAGCCTAGGTTAGAATAGGGCACCACATATCAATTCATGTTGCCATAGTAACGTTGGGGGGGGGTAGGCATGATGTGTGTATGAGTGGAATTTTCTGGTTTTACCTATAACCTATATGTTCCCACGGTTTGTCTTCAGTCCTAACAAAGGTTCTTGAACCCACAGCATCATATCTCTAATAAAGCACTGCACTGCCAATAGTGCGTGTGGAGAGTGAATTAGCTGAGGACCTGACACCTCCAGAGTCTTTTTACAGCAGGAAGGCAGTCCGCTCGTGCCCCCCCTTCCCCTGACGGAGCCTCCCTTCCTCGATCCTGGCCTCCTCTTTCCTCTTTGGCAAATACAGGGCACTGGTTCCTCCCTGCCAAGTGAAAAAGTGGAAGATTCTAACAAGGAAAAAGCTAAGGTTATGGAGACAACCCAGCAGTTAACGGCCAGGGCACCTCTGGGAGCCCCCTTTATAATCCGGGAGGAGCCTCCAGGGCACTGGTTCCTCTCTGCCAAGTGAAGAAGTGGAAGATTCTAACAAGGAAAAGGCTACGGTTATGGAGACAGCCCAGCAGTTAACGGCTAGGGCACCTCTGTGAGCCCCCTTTATAATCCGGGAGGAGCCTCAGAAGTTTTGGTCAGCTCCCTCGCCCTGGTAGGTGGCCCTGCTTTCCTCCTTGGACTCAAAGACGACCAGCAGCCCACCCCCCCAGAACCAGCTGCGCCCCCTGAGGTTTCTCCTCAACTGATGTCTCGTCCCATTAGATCAAAACGTTTCCCAGCCCTGCTGAAGAACTCACTGCTGTAACAAGGGTGTGGCATTTTTAATCGCCAGAAATGTCCTCAAGAAGATGTAAGAACATAAGAGCCCTGCCAGATCAGACCAGTGATCCATCTGATTCAGCATCCTGTCCCACACAATGGCCAACCAGTTCCTCTAGAGGGCCAACCACAGGGCACAGAGGCTGAGGCCTTCATAAGAACATCAGAAGAGTCTTGCTGGATCAGAACAATGGTCCATCTAGTCCAGCATCCCGTCTCACAGAGTGGCCAACCAGTTCCTCTGGAAGGCCAGCAAGAGGGCATAGAGGCTGAGGCCTTCTCCTGATGTTGCTTCCTGGTTTTGGGATTCAGAGGTTAACTGCTTCTGAATGTGAAGGTTCCCTTTTGTCACCAGGACTCATAGCCACAAATAGGCCTGTCCTCCATCAATCTGGTTATTCCCCTTTTTAACCTGCCTATTCCTGTGGCCATCAATGCATCCTCTGGCAGCAACTTCCACATTTTAATCACTTGCTGTGTAAAAAAGTATTTCCATTTGCCTGTCCTGAATCTACAACCCCTCAGCTCCACTGAGTGCCCTAGAATTTTGAGAGGGAGAAAAAGTTCTCTCTGTCCACTCTGTCTATATCATGCATAACTTTATAAAACCCCTTAATTGTCTCTTTTCTAAACTGAAAAACCCAACTCTTCAGCCTTTCCTCATAGAAATGCTGCTCCAACCCCTTAAATGCAGGGCTTGAATTCCAATCTCCCTGCCTTAAAGCCCCAATCCACCTTCAGGTCTTGCCTCTCCTCCTGGATCAAGGAAGCTAAATGTGATCATCCTTATTTGAAGAAACTATTTTATAAATTAAATGCAGTGCAGAAAGAGAAAGGGCAATAAACTAAATCACATGGAATAGAGTGGGGTAGCTCTAGTCTGGAGATTTCAGTCCTGACGTACTAGATAGGAGAGCTGCAATCACACAGGCTAAATAATCCACTTTCAATCCACCTTCAGTGCACTTTCGAATTGGATTTTTGCCAGTTCACACAGTAAACTCCAGTTGGAAAGTGCATTGAAAGTGGATTATTTAGTGTGTGTGATCCCAGCCGAGGTTAGGTAAGAAGGAAACACACATGGGCATAGTAGTTGAACGACATGTTCCCCCACTCACTTATGAGTACAACCGGCTTCACTCCACCCCCTCGACTCAGCAAAGGAGCTGGGGACTTGGAGCAGATGCAACCAACACCAGAATGAGCGGCAAACCCTGACAAGCGAGCCTTCTGGGTGGATGTCTCATCAGCCTGGTGGGCAAACTGGCAAGATTCCTACATTAAACACAACAGGCTGGCAAAGCCTTCAGTTTATTCCTACGTAGATCAGACAGTCAATAAATGCTGCATAAAATTCAAAGGAACATGAATGGGAAGTACTGAGCGCCGGATACCGTGGGAACCTCAGAATGTCTTTCCCATCCACGCTGCAAAAACAATAAGGCTTCCTCTCCAGAGATGTAACATCTGGAATCCACACGGTTTAGAGTTTGCATTTCTACTTCCCGTCCTTACCTGCGGAGCCTCTAGCAGGATGAGCTCGGCAGAAGAGTCCAGCAAGGTCGGAGGTCGCAGCTGTGGTGTCGGAGGGATGCTAACTGGGGGGATGCTGAAGGCATGGATGAGGGGGAAGCCTGGAGTGACTGGCAGCAACTGCGCTTCCTCCAGGGTAACCGACTGTGAGATCTTTGGATACCTTGACGGGACACAGGAGCTGCTGTTGAATGGATGGAACAGAGAGGAAAAAGTCAGAAGCTCTGGAGCCGAGCAAAAGTCTGACACCCCCATGGGGATGTAGCAAGGAAGAGAGATAAAACCTCTAAGCACCAAAAATTGCAAATTACTTCATATCAGGTTGCCAGTCTCCAAGCGGCATCTGGAGATCTCCCACCATTACAATTGATCTCCAGATAGAATCATAGAGTTGGAAAGGGGCCATACAGACCATCTAGTCCAACCCCCTGCCCAATGCAGGACCAGCCTAAAGCATCTCTGACAAATATTCGTCCAGCCTCCTCTTGAAAGCTGTCAGTGAAGGGGAGCTCACCACCTCCCTAGGAAGATGATTCCACCTTTGAACCACCCTGACCGTGAAAAAGTGGTTCCTAATATCCAGCCGATACCTTTCTGCATGTCATTTAAACCCGTTGCTTCGGGTCTTCTCCTCTGCTGCCGACTGGAACAGCTCCTTGCCCTCCTCCAAATGACAGCCTTTCAAATATTTAAAGAGAGCAATCATGTCCCCCCCCCCCCCACACGCCTCTTCC